CCGCAGGGAGGTGCCAGAGTGGGGAGCGGCTGGGTGTAGCTCCCCCCCCCAAAAAAAAACCCCCACAGGTTTCCACCCTTGCAGGTGGCAGCTCCACACCTCTCCCGGCACCTCCGCCACCCGATAAGAGGGTCAAAGTCCAGCTGTGCCAGCTGCCGTCACCCCGTGGGGCGGGGGGGTGACCGTGGGGAGGGGACTGTCACCCTGCCCGCCCCGGCTACCTGGGGTGACACCAAACACCCCACCGGTGGTGGCACGGGGCACCCCGGCATCACTGGGTTGGGGTCCCCCCATGGCTCCAGCAGCCGGAGCAGCGCAGGAAGGTGGTGGCACATCAGAAGCAGGTGGTCCAGCGGGAGGATGATGATGGTGGTGAAGGCTGAAGGCTCCGGGTTGACCTTTAATGTCATGCAGGGTGGCTGTGCCCACGGTGGAGCTTAAGGGTGAGGGACCCAGAGCTCTTGGTGGAGGGGGAGGGTCCCCACCCCAGGGAGGGTCTGGGCACAGCCGCTGGTGGGCAGGGGATGGGGACGGGGGTCCAGCGGTGACTCTGGGGGGCACAGGTGGTGGCTCAGTGGTCGCTGCCCCCCTCACCCTTGCCGGGCAGCCCGTTGGGGGGGCTCAGCTCCCCCCGGTTGCTCTCGTTCAGCCGCCGCACGCGGTAACTCTCGTAGTGGACGTTGTGGGTGATGTCCTTCAGGTCCTGCAGGTGGGACCTGCCCGGGGTGGCCAGCGGGGAAGGAAGGGTGTCAAGTCACCATCCCTGCTGCCACCACGTCACACCCCCCCACCCCGGGATGTTGTGTCCCCCCCACCACCCTCACCCCGTTTTTGTGTCCCCCCCCTCACCGGATCAGCAGGTCCCTCAGGAGGGGGAACTCGCAGTGCGCCGGGTTCTCCACTGCAAAGCAAGGCAGAGCGGGCAGCGTGTGGGCAGGATGCCCGGGGAGGACATCCCACCAGGCTCCGGGTACCACCAGAGCACACACCCCCAGCTCAGCACCCACCCAGGCAGGGATACACCCCCCCGTTGGACCCCCCCCCACACCCCATACCTGGGGGTGCAAGGGGCTGCGCTCACCTTCGATGATGCCCCACTTGGTCTTGCGGCCCAGCACCCTCTTGCCGTTCACCTGGTGCTCCTGGTCGGCCCCCACCACGGCGAAGGGGATCTTCTCCTGCCGGCGCAGAGAAGCGTGGTCACCCCAGGGTGCTGCCAGCCCCACCACCCCCCCAACCAGGGACAGCAGCACCCCAAGTCCCAGCACCCAAAACTCACCCGAATCCGGTCGTTCAGCACCCTGTCATCCGGGTCCTGGTCAAAGTCCTCCTGTGGGTACACGCTGATGGCGTGGGTCTTCAGGTCCTCCTGGATCTGCAGGATACATACAGGGCTTGGGTTGGGGTTCAGGGGGGACATGGGGCACCCTGGGAGCCCCCTCAGGGACCTGTCCTCACCCGTTGCTTGAACTCTGCCCGTTCCTCCAGGGTGAGCGTGTCGGCTTTGGCGATCACCGGCACCACGTTGACGATCTTACTGAGCCGCCGCATGAACTCCAGGTCCAACGGGCGCAGCCTGCCAAGGACCACCATCACCCCGGGGTGACCCCCATGACCACCACCCCAAGGTGGCACCACCACCACCATCATCCCCAGGGTCACCCTACCATCACAACCCTGGGGTGACACCACCACCATCACCCTAGCCACCCCAAGGTGGCACCACCACCACCATCACCCCCAGGGTCACCCTACCATCACCACCCTGGGGTGACACCACCACCATCACCATCACCCTATGGTGACCCCACCACCACCATCACCCTGGGGTGACCCACACCACCATCACCAGCAGGTGACACCACCACCATCACCCAAGGGTAACCCACACCATCATCACCCCAGGGTGACCCCACCACCACCATCACCTCGAGGTGACCCCACCACCACCACCACCCCAGGGTAACCCACACCCCCATCATCAGCCTAGGCTGACCCACACCACCATCACCAGCAGGTGACACCACCACCATCACCCAAGGGTAACCCACACCCCCATCATCATCCTAGGGTGACCCACACCACCATCACCAGTAGGTGACACCACCACCATCACCTAAGGGTAACCCACATCATCATCACCTCGAGGTGACCCCACCACCACCATCACCTCGAGGTGACTCCACCACCACCCCAGGGTAACCCACACCACCACCATCACCTCGAGGTGACCCCACAACCACCACCACCCCAGGATGACCCCACAACCACCACCACCCCAGGGCGACCCACACCCCCATCATCATCCTAGGGTGACCCACACCACCATCACCAGTAGGTGACACCACCACCATCACCTAAGGGTAACCCACATCATCATCACCTCGAGGTGACCCCACCACCACCACCACCCCAGGGTAACCTACACCACCATCATCATCCCAGGGTGACCCCACCACCATCACTATGGGGTGACCTGCACCACCACCATCACCCAGGGTGACTTGCACCACCAAGCAGGGAGCACCCATGGTGCTGTGAGTGGGGGCTCACCAGTGACCCGTGGGGGGGACAAAGTAGACGCATCCATGGACCCGGGTGTCCGGGATCTTCCTCTTACGGGTGATGAGGATCTCCTCACGCAGGTACCTCTCGTACTGCTCGTTGATGTATTTGATGATGGGGTCCCAGCTGGGGACGAGGAGTTGTGGGACAGCATCTGAGCTCGAACCTCCTTGAGAATTCCCACCCACCAAGCTGGGACGCTGCACCCAGCTGTGTCCTACCAGTTCTCGTTGTTGATCTGGTCCCCGAACCCCGGCGTGTCCGTCACCGTCAGCTTCATCTTCACACCCTTCTCCTCGATGACTATGGGGCAGAGATGTGGGTCAGCGGGGACCGAGCACCGGGGTCCCCTGCTTCTCCCGGAGGTTGGTGGGACACCCCATGGTGGTGACCTTACCGTGGGTGACGGACTGCAGCTGCACCGTCTTGGGGATGCGCTCCTCCTGGCCGGGCTGCGAGGCTTTGCGGCTCACCTTGGACTTGAAGAGGGTGTTGACCATCGTCGACTTCCCCAGCCCGCTCTGCCCTGCGGGGGAGGCCGACAGCTCCATAAATTAATTCCCCCCAGGGCAATTAACACCTCGGTATCCATTTGGGAGCATCCCAGAGGTTGGCATAGCTCAGGTTTATCCCCTAATAAATATATTCCCCGGGATGATAACACCCTGCTACCCACCTGGGAGCATCCCAGAGGTTGAAATAGCTCCAGTTTATACCCAGTAAATTTATTCCCCAAATTTATTCCCCATTGACACCTATTTGGGAACACCCCAGAGGTTGGCGTAGCTCAGGTTTATCCCCTAATAAATATATTCCCCGGGATGATAACACCCTGCTACCCACCTGGGAGCATCCCAGAGGTTGGGATAGCTCCAGTTTATCCCCACTAAATTTATTCCTCAAGGTGGTAACACCTTGGTACCCACTTGGGATCATCCCAGAGGTTGAGATAGCTCCAGTTTATCCCCACTAAATTTATTCCTCAAGGTGGTAACACCTTGGTACCCACTTGGGATCATCCCAGAGGTTGAGATAGCTCCAGTTTATCCCCACTAAATTTATTCCCCAAGGTGGTAACACCTTGGTACCCACCTGGGAGCATCCCAGAGGTTGAGATAGCTCCAGTTTATCCCCAGTAAATTTATTCCCCAAATTTATTCCCCGTTGGCACCTATTTAGGAACACCCCAGAGGTTGGGATAGCTCTGGTTTATCCCCCAGTATGTTCCCAAAGGTGATAACACCTTGGTACCTACTTGGGAGCATCCTGGAAGTTTGGATGGCTCTGGCTTGTCCCCCAATAAGTTTATTCCCCAAGGTGAGAACGCCTCAGCATCCATGTGGGAACATCCCAGAGGTTGGGATAGCTCCAATTTATCCCCCAATAAATACATTCCCCTGGATGGTAACACCTTGGCATCCATCCATCCATCCATCCAGCACCTTGGATGAGCTCACCCACCAGCATGGCTGTACCAGCAGGTAGGGGACGTTCTTCCTCTTCGATTTTTTGATGCTTAAATCCCTTTTAATTAAATCCCTTAAAATCCCCTAAAAGCCTCGTGTCCCCCAGCACGCTGGCATCAGAGCCAGGATCCCCCCCCCCTGCAGCGGGAGCGAACCCGGCGGCTCACCCACGACCATGATGTTGAACTCGAAGCCCATCTTCATGGTTTTGACCTTCATCTGGTCCAGCACGGCTTCGATGCCCACGTAAC